AAAAAAAGTTTCTAAATATGTTCCACATGTCCAAACATGCGGAAGTCGTCTTTGTGAAATTTTTGAGATGGGAAAAAAATAAAATCAAAAACACAAAACAAACAATAATAATTAATAATAATAATAATAGTAAAAAAAAAAACTTGAAAAAAAAAATCTGAAAATAGGTTTAATGGATTTGCAAAATTAAAAAAAAAATTTTTTTTCAATTTAAAAAAAAGATCTGTTTTAATGTATGTAACACGTAAAACCTAAATTATGCATCAAACACGAGGAAAATCTTTCGTCCTACAAACTAATATGGTAATGTGGCATAAAAAGTTGAAATATAGAATTGTAATGTATATCCATATATCGATCTTTTTTTGTGTTTGATCATGTTAAATCTATAACAACCCCAACCGTTTTTATCCTTAATTAAAAATGTTTTTTTCATGGGAAAATCGATTTATTTATCAGATAAAACTTTTTTTTTTTAATTGATAATGACGAAATAAAAGGTTTTTTTTTTTTTTTTTAATCTAAATCTGACACAATCTGGCGGTACAGAACACAAAAGGATATTCGCGCTGGTACCAATTCCTAAATGATCGACGCGTCATCCTCGGATGGGTTGCCCTGAAAACGCGGGATCCGAAATAAATTATTGAACTCGGAAAATTTATTTTGAAATAAATAATAAAAAAAATGAAAAAAAAATTACCAGGATCCTCCTAAAATTACTACATGCTTGCTGTCAAAGAAATCAGAAGAATATCCGGGATACAGTTTGCTTTTGTTAAACCCAGGATGAGCGCCGAATTCTGTAGAAGTCCATTCCCAACCGGAACCCAACGTTTGAACAACATTTTCATCATGTGGAACGTCAGTGGGATGCCAATGGGAGAATCCAAAGTTCGATGATAAGTCCAAGTGTGGTGGTGTATACAAATCATACAAGCTCCTCAATTCCTCCTCAGTGGGAAGTCTCATCTTTGCCCATTCGGCATAACGACATGCTCGATCTTGACTCAACATCACGGGCCAATTCCTAGCTACATCCATGTCAACAGGTCCAAATACGGTGCGAACTTTGTAAGTAAACAACGATGGGTTGACGGGGATCCATGAAGAGGGGTATCCTATGTTTATCGTTCTCTCCATGAAATCAAGATATTCGCCATTTGTGATCGGACGTGATTGTATCCTGAAAGATTTGACTGTGAATTTTCTAGGTGGTCGTTCATTGTCCCAGCCAAACGGTAAACTCAGCGGGTCAGTATCATCTGCACCTTCATTATCGTCATGGCCAAGTGTGACGGTTTGTGCTGGGATCGTTATTAGGTTGGCTTTTGGTGCGGGATCAAGGGATGTAATCCATCGTGGTATGACGACACCTTTTGGCGGTTCGGTATTCTTCCATTGAATCAACATATAAAGGATCGTTTCCAGGTGCATGGCTTCATGTTCAAAAGTCATCCACACAACTCGACCAAGAGATCTCGGCATAACCTTTTCTTTGTAATCATCATACACGGAAATGATTCTCTGACGAACTTTATCACGGTAGGAGATGATGGAATCATAACTTGGCCATTCATCAGGGACGGTCGAGTGAGGGTGACAAATTGATGGATCATCCATATCGGGGTCAATCCCACGTTCAAAGATATCCGCGAAGCTCCGAGGTTCCGTGAGTTCCTCATTAAAATACCTTGTAAGGTTGATATCAAGGAATGACGGAATGTGACCAAGGTAAAATATGAATGGGTGCCGGAGTTCGATGGATTTTTCCAGTACAAGTTCACGTGAAATCATGGTCATCGTCACGTTGTCCCATGCCTTCCAAAGTTCTATCCATTCTTCAACCGTAGGTACCGATCCTTGCGATTCGACATTCCTTGTAAAGTAAAAGGGTGATTTGTAAATTAAGTGAAGGTCATACTGTGAATCGGGATCCTGCCAACTCTCCAGATGAGATAGCCGACTCTCATGAAATAAAGCGAAACTTTCGTCTTTACTGTATTTGTAGGAATACTCGATGTGAATTAGTTCATCTTTTTTCAAATTAATTGTCATTTTGGTATTATCACTAGGGGACGTGTATTCTAACGTGATTTCATTCTTGGCTTTATAATAAGCTTCATGTCTACCAACATCTTCATTATATCTGGCAAAATAATCGAAATCATTCCGATCGATCAAGGGTTGACCCAAGATCACGTTAACGTGATCCAACCCGTTTAGGATGAATTCGGCCGTTATCCCCTTTGGATCGTTGTATGCGATGGCGACCTTATCAGGGTGATTTCTTCTGTCAATCCCGATCAAGAACAAATCCCCCGGATTCATGGCCTTGGTTTGAAAAGATTTAATGAATTCCGCACCCTCCTCCCTTTTTAAATTTCCAATCGAGGAACCCAACCACATGATCATTTTTGGTACGTCCTCGGGAAAACTCGCGGCAAAATCCATTCCTTCCTCATAAGTTCCCAATAACCCGACAAGTTGGACATTGGAAAATTTTCCAAGTGATGATAATGACTTTTTGAGTTCATCTTCCATAAGATCAAGCGCATAATAGGTGATGTTCTTTCTGTTCTTTTCAAGGGATTGAAGGATAAGTTGAGTTTTACGTAGTGAACTATTGGATAAAAAAAAAAAATTTTTTTTTTCAAAATTTAAATTTTAAAATCGAATCGCCGAGTTTGGAACTGTGAATTAGAGGTCCTAACCCAATGATGAGTTTTGGACTTATTTTTTAATTTTAAATATTTTGGACAAGGTTTTGGACATATGAAATTGTGTCCAAAACCTGTCCAAAACTGTCCAAAATTGTCCAATTGCCCAACACTGTCCTAACCGGTTAATTACAGATATATCAAAAGTCACGGACGGTCGATCATTTCGCAAATCATAAAAATAAAAAAAAAAATGTGGATGGCTTTTTGGATATTATCGGCTGTCCCGTGACTTTTGAAATTAGCTGTAACTGGTTAAAAAATGTTTTAACCGATTATTAACCGGCTCTATATCTTTGGGCGGATCTAGCCAATCACAAAAATCTCTAATCCTGGCCGAAAATTAAATTTTGGCCTTAGTTAAATTTAACTATTTTAACCGGTTAAAAAAAATCTTTAACCGGTTACGACATCTACTGTAATTCACGTGTAGATCTGTATTACCCGGCGCCCAATTCAATCACTGAACTACCATCAGGAATGTATTCGATAATCCGATCAACCTTATCTCTAAGGATCTTCGCTTCTGCGGATGTAAGATAATATTCATCAAGATAAGTAATCTGATCGAAAAGTTGCAAACCGCGATTATCGTAAAGGACTACGGTTGGTATGGACTTCATGGAATTCTTTGAATTCAGTCCGTCAAGGATTTCATTGATAAAATTTTCATGAATAATAATATTCTTGCGAATATCGATAATGCTAAAAGATGATATGTTCGTCATTATTTTTTTATTTTAAAAAAATTCATACAAGATATTTTTTAAAACACTTCTTTATATAATATTTAATGTAATACGAGGTTCTGCCTTTTTGGGAAGACCCAAGAAAGATCGGGCTCCATCATGATCTCATTGCTGCGCTCCTTTTATGGATACCCCATTGACATGTGAAAGATGTTTTTAAAGATTTCGTGTAATTATTTAGAATCTATCAAATATTGTCGTAAAATCTCCTAAATTTTAAAGATTTTCGGTCATAGTGAAGAAACAAATATATTAATATTTATATTTTAAAAAAAAAAAATTCAGCCGCCCTTCGTATTTAACTGGTTATAGGAGCAGATCTATCTTACCCACATGTTTTTTTTTTAATTCCCCCAAAAAGAATGAAAAAACAAAATTTTTTTGTAATCCATATATTTATATTATATTCATTTAAATTTTGTAAAATCATCAAGCAAACCACTAAAAGCACTATAAAAATAATGTTGTATCAATATGATTAGTAAGAACATCATAAGGTAATCCTATTAGCAAAAGAATGAAACTTACTCATCAGCCTTTGAAGGAGTTTTTTTTTCAATAGAATTCCCCGATAATGTTTGAGTAGTAGCAAAATATTGACTTCCTTGTGGCATCAAATTCTGTTGTACTTGGGGTGAAAATGATGATGATTGTGGATTAAAGATACTCATAAGATCATCCATATTTGAAGATGATTGAGCGGCATTATTATTATTATTATTATTATTATTATTATTAAGACGATTATAATTATAATTATTATTATTATTACTACTAATATTATGATTATTGTATCCTAGAGCTGAGTGGGGTTGAAGGTTAGGACTATTATATAAAGAAAGAATAGAAGATTTAAGATTTTCATGGCTAGTAGGTTCATAATTATTTGAAGTTGATGATCCAAGAGAATTGGGAGTAGTTGATCTAGGCATTGGGAGCGTTTCTTTTTTTTGAGTTGGACTTGATGGAACCGAACTTGTATTTTTCGTAGGTAACCCTATAGAAAATAAATCTGCACCTTGAAGTTGCGATATAGCTGGTGATTTCTTTATCAAATTAGATGTTGATGATGTTGATGATAAAAGATCGGCTGTTTTGTTATCTGATGTATCTCCTCGTTTCTTTTATAGCAAGGAAAATTGAATTAAAAAAATAATCAATTCATTTACAATAAAAAAAATATATAAATAAATTTAATGATCCCTACCGATTCTCCTAAATCTGGTTCACCTAAATTTTTCGGATCTGGAATCTCTCTCGACATCACCCAATTTTTCAACTCATACTTTCTTCGAATCCAACTATCCATGTTACTTTATGTAAAAAAAAAAAAAAAAAAATTAGATAAGGATTGTTTCTACATTTGACAACGAGAAAACATGTTACTTACCTTTCTGGGGGTCTCTTATTCGTTAAATTAGCTTCCCAGTAACTAATAAAAGGGGATGATGTATATAATAAGAAAGATAGAACATAGATTACAACAAAAAATGGGTTTAAATTTATAATTGTTACATACATGTTCGCTTTTGCATTGCCCCAGAGTACCATTTTCTCAACTTGTTCAGGTGTCCAAGTATCTAAGTCTACGGACTTGACTAATTTTCATTATTAAGATTAATTAAAAAAGAAATTTCTTTCACACGTCCTTTGATAAAAATAAAAATAAATTCACAACCTACCTCGACTAATATGAGTACCCATAGAACGATGAGTACCAGAACAAGTTATACAGACAAAAATGCCCAAATTCCAAGAAGCCCAACGTGGATCTAACGGAAAAAAATGTTGATAAAAAAAATAAAATAAAAAAGAAAATAATTTTGTCATAAAGCATCAAACCTTTTTTTTTACAATCTGCACAATATTTATTTTCGGGCTGTTCTAAACACGACTTAAGAATTTTTGCATGTTTCTGAGTAAGACTTTTATCAGCAGTTCTCTGAGAGCGTGTTGACATGATTGAAACGACAAGTAAATGGGACAAGTATTGATGAAAAAAATGAGAAAACTGTGTTCGCAAAGTTAAACTATCTCGCAATTCGCGATCTGATCATATGATCGATCTCGAAATAGCTAATTTGTAATTAAAATTAGAAATATTTATATATAGAATAGATAAGAAATTACTGCGCTTTGGCTTTGTTTAGTGACTGAGGCTCAAAAATTGAGTTGATTGGTAAGAAAGTTAAAAAAAAAAAGTTAATTATTTAATAAATAGATAAACCCATGGGATAAAATAAGATAATCGCACAAATGCGTCTTAAAATTAGACATGGACAAGGAATAATGAAAAGTATGTTTTTCTTTTATCGAACCTCATTATATTATGTTATAAATAGAAATCAAATTAAGCCTTTAGTAGTAGTTTTTCTCCAATTACGGATCATACATTTCTTTTATTAAGTATTGCATAATACCTCTTTCGTTATAATCTTCGATTGAAATTTTTCTATCGGTACACCTAAATCTCCAATATGTTTTCAAAAGAATATTTCAAAACTCTAAAAATATCAGTTATTTACTTAAACAAGAAAGGGCTTCTTCAACATCGCATGAATTTTTACAATAACGAATATAATATCATTTATAATAAGTTTTTTTTTACCATTTTTTTACTGGATCAGCGAAAGAATCGGTAAAAGAATTTTAATTTTGAAATTTAGCTATTTTTATTAAATTTAATTAACAAATAAGCAATAAATATTATAATATAATAAAAAGTTGCCACCATAACGCTTGTTAATTTATAAAATCTAGAGATTTCTGTTATTTTCATGTTTTAACGATACCTCAAAAAAATTTTTATTGTAATGCTCCCAGATCGCTAAAGACCGGATCAAAGATCGGTTCATTAAACATAAATGTTTATGTGATAAAATTGAGTGTGCCAATCATTTAGAATTTACAATGACATTTAATTTAGACTTGCTCAAACTAGAATTTAATCAATTTAAATTGAATCGTAAATAAAACCAATCAAAATTGTTTATTAAATTTCCATTTTTGGATCAAGCCCTTTACCGTAATGGTTTAACACAAAAAGATTTTTTTGTTTATTTAAACAGTTACATTGTCTTTCTAATAAATGCTCCAATATGTTGTGAATTTTACTAACTATATATAATAAAGTTTTTATTTAATTTTTTTTTAAAAAAATAATACTTCTTTGAATATTAAATGAATATTTAAACCAATGCAATAATTAATTAATAAAAAATATACGCAGAAATAAGCATTACCATTTATTGTTCTCCATACTATCAACTTCTCAATAATAATTTAACTATATATATAATTATCAATAATTTTTAAGTTTTAAGAATTTTTTTTTTTTTTGTTCGCCATTAAAAAAACGTTTCCAGAAGTTTTTTCTTTCTTCTTAGTCTTTCTTTCTTTTTACATAAAGTACATAACCTTTTGCAATTCTGGTTTTACCATACCATAACTTGATACCGAACCACCACTTTCTGAATCTTGATCACTCCAATTTTCACCACGCGAGTGGAATCTAGCTCTACTACAAACTAAATGAGCATAATACACCGGTGGGACTAGTGAGACTGAACGAGTGCATCGAGCAAAAACATAACACAAGTGATAAGATAGCTTTTGAAGTGTATCCGCAGTAAATCGGTTTTCGTCATACAACACATGATAATGGGTTGGACGTGAAGTTCCTTGCAAACCTGCATGACTCTGGAGGTAGAAGTCGAATTCAAAAGGATGTGTTATCACCGATTCAACAACTGTACCGGGGAGACAATTGCCTGTTCGATCGGAATCCTTTCTATCCATGGGGAAAAATCGGGCGTGATGACGTTTTTGCACAATCACAAAGGTTATGGTTGGTTTGTAGTTCGCATCTAGTGACTTACATGCGGCTATATATTTTTTTAAAAAGAGATGTTAGATAATGTTAACGCGTTGAAAATTAATTAAAATTAGAAAAATATTTTTCAATAAAATATGTAAACGTACCTCTCACTGCATCGATTTCAAATTCGAGTACTTGTTCGAATTGTCCCTCTGAGACACCATCTCGATAAAATAAAATGCGTTCTGGTTTCCTTCCGCAGGTCTGATAGAAGGTCTTTAATAATTCTTTCACCATACCGGACAAGTCAGAAATGATTTCTTTTTTTCCTGCTTGAACGCGAATCGAAGCAGCATAACGAGATGCTTTTGCGTCCATTGAAGCACATAGAGCAGCAATGGATGGACGAGACTCATCACCCCCAGGAGCAGGATGAGTAACGTCAGCACCCATTAAAATGGTGGGACGTTGTGAAATAAATGGAACTAGACTTGGTTCAATGAACGAATTCATGCCCCCGAGTTTAACATTCATTTTCAGGCACACGTTCGCACAATATTGTTTTTTGGCTTGAAATATGTGCTTCGATTGAACGCATTGGGTCGCTACACCTATCACTGTATCACTAACACGCTTTATTTCAGCGTACAAAGGTACGCCAGTATTCGGAAGGACACATACAATTAATTGAGGCGGTGATTTGGACATATTTCCAGCCTTGACCCAGGCTTGCCTCATAATCTGTTCAATATTTCCCATTGGATTTCCTTGCTGAATAGGTGGATTCTTATTTGGAATATTCATCCCGGTATCTTGACAAGTATTTACCAATTCTCTAATGAAATGCTGAACGGCTTCCAATTCATAATTTCCAAAGGCAACGCATGCCCATGAACCAAGGGTGGCACCAGTAGCAACTTTTTTATCGCGCAAATTCCATGTCCCATCCTTTGGGATGAAGGCAGCCTCACGAGAAGAAGGATGATACTGTATTTTTGGAGCAGGTAATACTCTGGCTGGAACTACGACCATTTCTTCAGATACTTGCAACCCAAATCTCCTCATATACTCGTTTTCTCGATAGTTAAGAATTTCTAGACCTTGAATAATTTTATTTGCACGGACATGTGGCTGCTGACAAGTAAACTTAATCATATCGGCTGTCTGTCTTTCGTTCAATTTGCGGATATGTCGCTGACCCTAAGAATAATATTTGAAAACTAAATTTAACAAATTTTTTACCGCCTTTCTTGCTTCAAGTATAAAATATCACACTGATTCATTTTATTTCCCTAAAACAAAAAAAAAATTGCATATTCACATACCTTGATAACCTCACATACTTCTATTGGTAAAGATGTGTCTTTTCGGACGATGACGCATGGAAGAAATGGATATTGTAATGGTCTTTTGTAAGTCTTTTGAAAGTATGAAGCAACATCAGTCTTTTTACCCTCAATTTCGAATTTTGTGCCAGATGCTGGGGTATTAGTTAATTTAACAATCTTAAACGAACGTTTGGAGGCATTTTCGCGATGAGTAACGCGAATTTTTACATTCTTTAAAGCCTTCTCAAGTTTTACACGATCCCTATCTGGAATTCCCCTCCTAAGGTCATCAGGATGACGTTTGCCGAGTAATTTAACAACCATTTGTACTAAACTACCACTTTCATAAAAAGCAGTAGCGCTCACATCAACATTTATCATCATCTTTTTCGGTGCAGGCCTGGCAGATTGATAATATCCCTGCCATACTTCGGCACCACCATAAAGAGATTGAGATATTTGATTCGTATAAAACGACCTGCCGACTGTAGCATACATAATCTCATCGTCCTTGTGTGTTACATGCATCATTGATGGTTTATGACGGATTAAAACATCCAGTGCCATAATTCCTAATAAACATAAAAATCAGAAAAAAGATTTTTGAATTATAATATAAGAGAACAAAAATTTGCAATAAATATTAACCTGTTAAAATATTAGGCGATGATTTGCATTTTCCGTCAAGAAACCTATGTAATTCTTCCATATTGATAACAGCAGCCTTCTTAATTTTGACTTTAAAAGCACGAGGAGGTCTTTTTCCCAATGGAGCACCGTCATCCTCAGGAAGAGTTATATCGAATGTAGCGGCATCGGTTTCGCCAAAAGATAACGGTTTAGGAGAGTAAATATTTTTGCGACCGTCGAAAACAGGCTTTGCGGAAGCAAGGATATTGTCATTTAGAGCCTCAAACTCGCAATAAATTCTTCTGTTTAATGAGGGAGGGACCTCTGGTGTGATAGTTACGTCATAGTGATGAACGTTTGAGTCGGGTAAAGATGTAACTTCAAAAAAATTGGCTCTGACTTTCAAAGGACGACCTTCACGACCTACACCAGGTCGCTTAACAAACTCTGTAATTTTAACCGACATTTACTTAATTAAAACGAATACTAAAATAGAAAAAAAAAGAGAGAAACAACAAAAAAGTGGATGGATGGTATAAGCAACTTTTTTTTTTCTTATTTTTTTTTTTTTGATAAAAAAAAAGCAAGAAAAGGAAAAGCTTGGATGAAAATTTTTTTTATTTCAATTTTTTTTTTATTTGATACAATTCTCAGATTCTTTATACCATAACTAGAAACAAAAGCTAGTTGTGGTGTGGCAACGTTAATATAATTACCGAGCATAACCGAAATACGTCATAAAATTGATAACGCGTTACATTTCAAAATTTGGGTAAGGATCAGATCAATCACCGCGTTTCGTATATAATTAAATGTTTTAATAAAAATAGTTGAAGAAACTGAAATTGATACTTTGTAAAAATAAACATTGCAAATATTGATTTCATACAGAATTTTCATTACTGTAACTTCCTTCTTTTCTATTAACAATAGGTACCTCAAAACACTGGATGCAACTGGATGCAAATAGACTAAAACGAAAGAGAGCACTTTTTTAGCATTCTACATATAGAAAATGTCATACCGATCATCATCACAATTATCATAATTGATCAAATGAACAATAAATAACAAATAATACACCTTTTGTTTCATGTACGCCACGATTGCTGTTTGAAAAAGAAACAAATGATAGGAACAAAAAAAAACACCCCGAAGACGCAGCAACAACTCTGTATTGCACGTGACTACAGAAAGTTTTAATCAAATAATTTTTTTAAAAAAACATATTTACAGAAAATAAATAAATAAGTATATAATATATATAAAGGAAATTTTGTTCGGGTGACATCAAAATATTTTTTTTTTAAATAAATATTTAAAATCAAGTTCAATTTGAAAATGAAAATGAAATATAAATATTTTGTTTTTTCTCTTATCAACACATTGAATGCGATATATGTAACTATCATCTCCCTAGTTGCTAACTTTCAAAAAAAAGCCGTTCTCGGTGGTTTACTTAATGGTTCAACACATTCCTTATTTCTAAGGTAAAACTCAGTAACATCGCCACTATTTCTTTTAATACCAAGTACACCTTTCTCTAATCTCATTAACTCTGCAACAAATCCAATGTTAGGACAAATACCACTTCTACGTTCAATCACATAATCATAAGCATGCCTCAACGTCCATTGACGCGATTTCATTAGATAAGCTAGAACTGCTGTCACTGAACGTGACCTTCCGGCCTTACAATGAACATAAATTGGCATTTTATCCTCGTGAGCACGCTCTATTATATTTTTTGTTCATAATAATATATTATTATAACAATTCTTTACTTAAGCAAAGTATTTGTAATGTTAAACCTCATACCTATAAAATCCATAGCAACTTTTAATCCTCTTTCAACATCCTCTTCAACCGCATCTTTAACATTTAATTTTAAATAACGATCAAATTTTTCTTTTAATCCTAAAAAATCCTCACATTCGAAAGCCATATTTAAAATCCTTCTTACACCTTTATTTTTTAGTTCTTCCACTTCTTCAACCTTTGTAATTTCTGGACCTAAAAAGAGAAATTCAGGAATTATAGTAGAAACTACGAATGAAACCTCATGAGGCGTCATAAGAATGGGAGTTTTAGGTGATACGGGATCAAATTCACCGCGATTAGTTATTACAGTGTCAGAAAAGTCATAAGAAGGAGTTGGATAAAGCGATAACGATTCACCTTTATTTAAAAAGATAATAATTATTAAATTATTAATTATCATTTTTATTTTTAAAAGTTCAAAATTCATTACTTACCAATTTTACAATTGCCATTAATTGGAAATAAATATTGTAACCCATTTGAAGGACGTCGCCCACGTGAAATTCCATTCTGCTTTCCGACATTTGTTTCTAGTGGTGGTGGTTGCTGCGTGTTTTTTTCTGATTTAAATTCGGATTGTTTACCACTTTTTTTACGTCTGAGAGAATTTCTTTCAGTATTTACAGAAAATAAAGAATCTCTGCGAACTAAACTTGAATGTTGTTGCTGCTGTTCTTGACCGTCATATTCCACTGAAGTACCACCAACGGAACTTTTATCGGAAGAAGGACCAACTTCGAATCCTGTGACAATAAATTCATTTTTTTGATCCCATGATCTAAATGCTTCGAATCCTCCTTTAAGCCAATACACACTTCCTCTAGGTGTTACCTCATAATTTTCTTCGATATTATCAGAAGGTGGAGAATTATAACTTCTTTCCAAAACACTCAATAAAGTCCAACCTGGGCTAGATTTATCAATTTCATCCATTGTCTCGTCAAAAATTATAACATCATGATGATATTGATCACCATCTTCATTTATTATGTCTAAATATCTATCACGACTTTCAGGTGTTGTGATAAATGATTCTAAAGAAAAGTTACTCATGTTTCCACGATGATATCTTTTAATCAATAGCGTTGGTAAATTGACATTAAAGGATTCTCGAATATGATCACCTTGATATAACGCCAAATTACGAACATCTATTAATATAGGTTTAGGCAATCTTTGCAAGAATGAGTCATCAACTTTTGTACTATAAGATGCGAATTCTCTCAATCTCTCAGCAAGCTCGGAAGGTACCATTGGTAAAGCTTTTCTACATGATGAAAGGGATTTTTGTGGCTTAAGATTAAATTTCCCAAGTTTTGATGGAGATTTAGGTGCCGAAGATTGATTAGAAGTACTAATAGATAATGAAAAAGATTTTCCGAAAAACCCGGTGGATTTAGAATTATTTGTTGGGGATTGAGCTACATCAAGAGAAAAAAAGTTAGCGGTTGAACTAATAGAACCTTCGGAATGTTTTGTAACTTGAACCATTCTTACCTTTACGATGTAAAAATTTAGGTGATTTTGGTGATTTTGGTGATTGTGGAGAAGCAGCTTTTGGAGAAGTTGGTTTATGTGATTTTGGATTGTTGTTTGATTTTTGGAATTTTAAAAATGAGGTAGTCGTTGAAGATTTACGACCTGTTGAAGTGGTTCTTTGAAATGCAGCAGCTAATGCGGTTATAGGTTTGATAATAAACTTTTTGGTTGGACTTTGAGTTTTTGGGGAAGGTAAATCTAAAAATGAATCACTTTTAGCAGAACTGGGGGCACTTATAATAATAGGGGAACGTGGGGGGATTATAACTGGAGCCGGTATTTTTGATAAACGCCTTTTACGGTAACCTGTCCTTTTAATATTGCTATCTAAAAAACTGTCACCTCTTTCTGGTCCTTCATTCTCGATATTTGATTGTGTAAAGCTGGTTGGTAAAGAGACTGTTGAATTCATAATAGAAAGTATAATTCCATTCGTGGGAAATTAAAATAAAAAGAAAATAAATTTTTCGTTTTTTTTTCTCTCTCTCCTAAAGTTGGTGAAACGGTATAATTTTACAGTTTTATATTGGGTAAAGAATATTGTACAGATTTAATCATCAATGAAAATTTTCCTAAAGCGAAAATATAGATTTATAGTTTATTTTTAAAATTAGTATCATGTATTTTAAAATAGAATAATCAAAATAACTTATATAAAGCGGAAAAATTATATAATGGCGTAGTGCGATCAACCACAGGTGACACATAACGCACATAATTTAAAGAATTTATTAAATATTTATAATATTTATAATATTTATGAATATTATGGGAACGAGACGACATTAATGAATTAATATATAAAATATAACTATTAAATAATAAGTTGCAAATCAACGATATTATTCAAATGGAGCATCCCTAAAGAAATTTAAAGTAAGTGAAAAGATTCTCCTAAAAAGTTCAATTAAACTTGAAGGGAAAAATATTTACCATGCTCTTGGAATTAAAGCCACAGGAAGAACCCTAAAAAAAAGAATAAAAAAACAAATGCATATAAATTTGATAAACGTGATAAATTATAGGAAAGTAAGAATGTCTTACCAAGTAGCAGCCAAAACAACACCTTTACCAAGATTTTGAGCTTTAATTACCGTAAATTGTAAACTCACCCAAGCTGAAATAAAGCCGAAATAAGGAGAAATAGCAGAAGCATTTCCTGCAACAACTTGTAAAAATCCCAAAAAACTGTTACCAACGCTCTGAGCTTGATCTAATCTGCCCATACAATTTTGTGGCACATAAATTTCATAACCCCACCAGTAAACATAAGCCGAAATGATATCCAGAGGTGGCTTAAATAATTTTATGGAACTTGTTGAAGGTGGATTAATCGTGACCTTTTCTTTTTTTATTTTTTTGCTAGATGATTCAGAAGGGTTCGCTGAAGTCGTTTCTTCTTCTTCTACTACTGTAACTTCCATTGAAGGTACATTTGGGTCTGGCATTGCTTTTAATACATTTATCATGCCCTGTGCTGCTGTTTCATTTTGTAAAGCCTTAACTGCTTTTTTAGCATTCTTACGACTTTTTGAATGAGTTGAATGGTTAACTCCTAAAATTATATCCTTAACTACATGTGCAAGGTTTTCCTGATATTTTGGGTCTGTATTTTTTTTATTTCTTCGATACGATAATATAGTCATTGAAAACATGTTTATTTTAAAATTAACAAAATAAAGAAATTCACAACGTTTAATAAGAATGAACAGATATTATTTTTTTAAAAAAAAAACGGGGGAAGAAATAATAATTTAATAATAAATTTAAAATAAATTGGCAAAATTAATTAATCAATCATATGGGGTTAATTTATTTATAGAATCTACAAAACAATGTAACAATTATGCAGGGGGAATTCCTTTTTTGAACACTATTTATTTTATTTATTTTTTTTTTATTTTTTGCAAAACTGTGCCACATTTTAATTCTATATTAAATTCTAATTGTAATCTCTGTTATAATAATGATAATTAAATAAATAATAATAACTAATTTTATGATTGTATCTAATAAGACTAAAAGTTTTTGATAAATAAGTTCGCTCGAGCCAAATTTACATGTACAATCATTATGTCCCGCTAAATGATTCGTATTTTAATTCACTTTCGCTTTTCTTTCATAATGTCGAATACCTTGGCAGCTAATGCTTCATCTTTCATCTGAAGTAAATAAATGATTCGCATATTATTTCCCATATTGTTCAATGTAAGAGCCACTTTGCATTTTCCAACTCTTTCAACACCATCTTCCCAAATAATCGCGTCTATTATTGTCTTTGTTTTCTTATCTGAATTGACTATAACTCTCTTGCGATGTGAAGGTGTTTCAAGTGATAATTTCATACTACCCCACCCAAGATTTGTCCAAACTCCATGATCATTTTGTAAAAATACACGACATCTAGTTTCCATAATTGGCGTACTAGTTTGTTCTACTTCTCGCAAAGGTTCAATTTTTTGTAACGAAGAAGATCGAGAAATGAATCCTGGTGAAACATTGAGACTTGCATTATCCTTAACTTTCAACAGGCTATCAATAAATTGATCAGATTCTGTACTATCTACTGTGTCAATCTTGTAATACTCTCGTCTTTGTCCCATCTCACATGATATACTAACAGAATTTGCATCCTCACGATGGAGGGTGGTTGTAGAATAAATCCATGCATTAAGAACCATCCTATTAGATGATCCCAATATTATAGCCCAACATCCTTTGTTTTGAGCTGTCATACGAACTTCCACAATACACTTATCTTTCTTAGTCAAAGGCTTCCACTCTCCATTTACCCATGTAAATACTTCACATGCGGATGATCTGAAAATTGTTTCTCGAGTAACTGCGATACTCATAACTGATGCGAGCGAAGCTAAAGAATTAGAACGTTCACGTAATCCTGCATTCAGTTTATTGTTTATAACCAAAGGTGATATTGGATCGCTAAGACGTCCTTGACCAGTTCCTTGTTCATTTCCTTTTGCAAATGGCACATAATCACCAGGATAATTTCCACCTACATTTCGAGGTGGATCGGGCGTAAGTGAACGTGCGATAGGCAGATAAGTGCTACCAGAACCCGGGCTTGAAGGAGCTAAACTCGAACTTTGACTATTAAGAGACATAACACCTCCAGACCATAAAGGTGATGGTGATTTAAGATGCGCTTTGCTTATCAGATTACCTACACTTGGACTCCTTATTATCGCGTTTGAAGACATTGGAGAAAGTGATAATTGAGAATTATTATCATATTTACGGGCAGCCTTTAAATCTATACCTAATTGAGGCTTTTCATTACCTAAAAATTATAAAAATTTAATTAAATAAAGTGTGAATTTAATTAAATAATATTTTTACTTTCGTATTTAATTATTTATTATTAATATAATAAAAATACCATTAAAAGAAAGGTTAATAGATTTAGTAACTTCGCTCAACCAATCGTCTTTAACTTCTTTGGTATCTACATAAATGACTATCATTTCTTTTTGCAAAACTGTCAATTCCAACATTTCTAATTGTAAAAGAAAAAAAATATTTTTTTTTACATTATTATAAAATAGTGAAGTTCATTAAAATTAGGAAGGTAACTTTTTTTAATTACAAACCTTCTTGTCCATCGCTTACATCCTTGATAACAAGATGTTTTGTACTCAATGGTGGATATAATAATCTCATATCCTTTTCCAAGAAAAATTCTTGCTTTTCTTCTTGAGTGATTAGTTGACAAATCAACAAAAGATCAGACAATAAAAACATATGAACATTAATGTGAGATAAATCCATTGAATTCATGGATTCTGTAATTTCAATAATAAAATCATCATGAAGAACAATTTCACGTTTGAAAGGAAGATTTGTTGAAAGAAGCGAAAAGTTTACAATCTATGAAAGAATGAATTATAAGGAATAATTAATTTACTCAACATATTTTAAAAGTAGTAAGTTAAATTTATTCTTTATACCTTTGGTAGTTTTGTAAATAAATCTCTAGTTTTGGATGTATCAAGTTGATTTTCTAAGTCTTCCAAAGTCCAATTCTTCTTAATGTTAAAATCGACCGGAGAACTAATATTTTGTGAAGTTGTTGAAGGTGACTCGATAGAAATATTATCTTGTTCATAACCTACTACATCTGGCAAAATTACCGCCGAAGACACATCTTCCGCAACTGGAGAAATCATTAATAAAGACACATCTTCTGAAATTACCACCAAAGAATCAGAAATTGGATAAGTCGCCGCAGCTTCTTTGATTTCTCTCTCCATTTCAAGAAGATGATCAATTTGTTCATTTGCAGATAATAAGAGGCTATGATCGGCACGTCCAGGCTCTGTACTCCTATAAAGTCGCTGCAAACATGTATTGAGTTTTTATAAATACTGGAAAAATATTAATAATTTATTCAATGGTTAAATGGTGAAATATATTACCATATATAAATTTTTGTAATAATGAAGCCGTTTCAATGGCATATCGAAAAAATAATCCAAAGAAACAGGTTGATTCTTTTCAGCCGAAATTTCCTAGTAAAAATAAAGATTAAGTTTTGTTTTTCTCTTATTTATAAAAAAAATAAATAATAAATGTTTTACATTTAAAGTCTGTTGTAAAATCGAATTTTCTTCAATTTCGGGCCAAGAATCAAAATCTAATCTGAAGTTTTCGGCATATTTTGTATATGGGCCCACCATGTCATCGACCTGAGCAATAATTAATCGAGATCGAATCAAATAATAAAGTAAATACAAGTTATACGTTATGATATATTAACGAAATCGACGAGAACTTACCCAAGACATTAGTGTATCACCAAGATCTCTTGCCAATAATGGACTTGATCCAATTTTGGCAAGTTTCTATAATGGAAGTCGATGTTTAATTATCAATTGAATTATTTAACAGCAAAATAATAATTGAAAACATACCGAGTAAAACTTTTTGTTTTGTTTATAAATTATTTCAATATGGCGAAACATTAAATCCAACTCTGGTGGGGGAAGATTATCTCTACTCCAACTTGCTGTAACTTGCTATAAAATTATTAAATCAGTTATAAAATAATTGGTTTAAAAAATGAGGTATAATATCTATTTTGAATATTGGCTTACTTGTAACAAACATTTTAAATCAGTAACATATTTTTTTTCGGTTTCGATTAGATCAACTAGAGGATTATTAGCTTTTGGCTTATCTATTTGTTTTGAATGAAAGGTATATGAGTCTTGATAAGGTGAAGGTGGACTCAATGGCGGTGTGTGTGGTGATTGAGGTGAAAGTGGAGAGTGTAAGGTATATGAAGACTAAATTAGTTAATGGTTAGTTTTAACTATGTGAAATGAAATGAAAGCAAGCATTTGTTAATATCCGAACTTACAATTTCCATTTCGTACTGCCTTGTTGGTTCAA